ATTATTATTATTATTATTATTATTATTATTATTATTATTATTATTATTATTATTATTATTATTATTATTATCATCATCTATTTTTTCTTCCTTAATATTGATGGTAATATATCTACTATTGTTTTTTAATGATAATGAAGACATCCCTTCGGATAACAAACTTTCATGTTTAGACATGTGCATAACATCATAAGTTCCCATTTCTGGATTATTAGAAATTTGATCCACATCATTGTTATTATTCCTATTATTTTTTTGTTGTTGAGTATCGGATCCCTCAAGGAATTTCGTCAATATTTGTTCGATCTATTGAAAAATAATTATATTATAATTATTATTAATAATTATTATAATATAATTAATTAATTCACAGTGATCAACCAAATATTAACTAAATTATTATAAATTAACTATAATTAACCTATCAAATTAACCTATAAATTAACTATAAACCAATTATAACTTTAATTATTTTACCTTACTTAACCTATCGTCGATAGTTTCGACATAACCGCGTTTACTACCTGGGTGACTATAACAGCACTCCCCATTAAAAGATTTACAATTTCCACAGATTGGATAATCACCATCACATTTAACATGCCTTTTTCGACATCTATCGCACGCATGACTTGATAACATAATAAATTTTCGATATTATCATAAATTGGGGGGAAAAAAACAAGAGGTATTATAGAAATAAAACGTAATTGTTAACTTTAAACCCATTTTGACTATTTGTTGTTTAAATCAAATGGTGGATAAAATCATTCTCCTTTTAAGTCTAAACAATTGACCTTCTCACCTAAGTCTCGCTCTCTTTTCCCTTTCAGCAGACATTCTTTTTTTTTTTTTATAATAAAAAAGTTTAACTAATAATCTGTAATAAAATATTTGGGAATTCTTTGAATAAAGTCAACCACAAAAAATGACAGTAAAGTAAAAAATTGCGAATTGAAATTGAAATGAATAATTGAGAATGGGATTGTTACGGTTTATAATAAAATAAATAAATAATAAATTTAAATTGTTTGGATTACAATATACATTGAGTACACATATCACATGAATAAAAACGCGATATAATCCAATATAGTTAAAGTTAATATGTCAGAGCCGATCGCTCGGCAAAGATGAAAAGTTGCAAGACAAACAAATAAGAAATTTCATTGACATTCGGTGAGGCGTAGTACTTTGAGTTACCTTATTTATCTTATATTTACTTAATATTTACTTAATATTTACTTTTTCAATATTTACAGTAACAATGGGGACCCCTGAGATAGAATTGGAATTTACTTCGATATATATGATTTGATTATTTTTTATTTTATTTTAACCAGGAATGAATTTAAAAAAAGATTTGATCTTTTATTTTCATTAAAATGCTAACTATTTAAATTTAAACCCATTTATATAATCTATATAGTCTTAAATAAAAAAATACAAAATACAAATTAAAAATATTTTTTGGTGTTAATATATTTTGTGCGAACAAAGAAATGCATTTATTTAAACTTATCAATGTATTACGATCAAAAAAAAGATCAGAATTAGTCCGAAAATTAAGGATTAATAAAATGAATTTTTTAAATAAAAAAATAATCTCTCCTCAGTTAATTTTCAGGTTTCTCGGCTAAATATCTTTACCTTAAGGTTATTATGCAGTACGATAAGTGTGTAATGAATTACGAATTCTTTTGAAGAACTGCGTAATTAACGTATTAAGCATTATGCACCATAAAGATTATCCCTTAAAATGACTTCTTTTGATATTCTTTATAAGTTCTTAAAAGGGAAATAAAAATTTTCTATATTAACTAAAAATTAATATTAAATCACGCTTACATGATTGCGCATAGAAAAATGTATCGGGGCTTTGTTCATTTTATCTAAAATTGGACAAAAAAAAAAGCAAAGCCTGTATAACATTTTAAGAAGGTTCTGTACCAAAGATTAAAAAATGATTCGTAAAGAATATGAATAATTAATAAAAACAAATATTATGTATTTTTCTTTATTCTTAATTTTCTTCTTTTTGTATCATTAAATATCATAACATTCACAACATTCATAACATTCACAACATTCACAACATTCACAACATTCATAGCATTGTAAATAGAAATTAAATTAATCGTTTTTAGCGAATATACTGTATGTAATTTCTCACTAAAATGTATTAACTATATTGATTTTTGAAACAAAAAAAAATGCCACAAAAAAAATAATATACATATTATACATATATAATTACTCTAAATTAATAAATAAACAATGTGTAATTTGAAGCAAATGAAAACTTTAAAATAAATAATCTTGATTATTTGGTTTCATTGTGCTTTCCGAAGTTCGTTCTGTAAAAAAAAAAACAACACCGGGACGGGAATCTCCAGAATTGCGTAACACCTTCACTGGCTGGTAAATGCAGAGGTAACTGGCAATAACACTTGAGCACTTATAATGGTAACCACACAGTATTGTTACAAAGTAATAATGGTAATTTTTACCTGCAGCATACTAGCTCTGGCTGCCAGTCAAAACAAAAAAGAACAGTAATGTTATACTATGAGTTACCCTTATCACTCTTCTTCGTATCTCGTGCACTAACATAGTATGCTCACGGGCAGGTATAGCAAAAAGGTACAAGAAAGCGGATCATAGCAATGAATGAAAATAAAAAAAAAAAAATAAAAATAAATAAAAATAATTGATACAATTATTTAATAAAACTAAATGCTTTAAGAAAAGGTAAAGAAAAAAATTATAATCTATAAGTTGAGGAGGGCGTTTAGGTAGATCACGTGAAAATCCGAATTTATGAACTTTTTCGTTAACTTATATATACTGTAAAATAAACATATTTATTCTGTTATATTTTTTTCAAATATTTAATAGTTACATTTAAAACAGACAGACAATATGTTCTTTAAAGCTAGTTTATACATAAATTCTAATATAAAAACAATACAAAAAATGCGTCAAATAAATGTCCAGCATTTAAATACATAAATACAATAATCAGGTTTGTATATTCTGTTACAATAATTTGAGTCATTAACCTTGGTATTTATAATATAATCAAGTAATTATAAATATTGTGACCTTGAATTTTTTCTACTATACAATGGTCGATTCGGACGTGGTGAAAGTGGTGAAAGTGGTGGATTTGATGGATTTTCCGAATTTGTTGAATATGGTGAACTTTGATTAATTAATAATTCTACCATTTTAATAACTTGTCTTCCTGATATCTCACATAACAATGAATCTAATACTAATGAACTGAGGGTGAACAAAAATGTCCAATAAATAATAGATATAAAGGTTCTAGTTGTGCTTATTCTTCCATTTTCTGAATAAATCTTGGAACCTTGAAGAGATTCGATCATAAAGGAATGTGTAAAATGTAAGAAGGGAAGAACGATAGCTCGTGTCAAGAAATGACTTTGTTGTGAGAAACCATCCAGGTCTGCTAGATTTTCTTCGTTCCTTTCCTTTGATTCCCAATATTGAGTATTTCCCTCATCATAACCGTCATAACCGACATAACCTTCGGGGTCCACCCCTGAATCTTTATTTGTATTATCTGTCATCGTCATAGAATCAAAGAATGTAGTAAATTCTGTCAAACTTTTATTGAATTCTGACATGCTATATTCAAATAATTCCTCGTGTCTGCTCTTTGATCGATTACGTTTGTTTGATTTGTCTCCTTTTTTAAGTTTTCTACCTCTTTCATTATCTTCTTCTCCATTTTCACTCGAAGATTCCTCGGATTCCCATCCTTCTTTTTCATCAAAATCACTTTCATCTTCATCATCAAGTTCGTCAAGAGCATTATTAATATCCGAAAAATCAAGGTCAGCTACTTGGTTAGGACCATATGCGTACCAATTTTTCTCACGTCCTTTAACAGGTGTTTCTACTGCCATGGTAGCCTCTGTAATTAAAGAGTTTAATACGCTAACCATTTTGTCAAATGCTGGATTATCTTCATCTTCGTCTTCATCTTCATCTTCATCGCATTTCTCTTCAATAATAATATTAGAATCCATGGAATCTTTTTGATGATTTATTAAAGTTATTGAAGGTAATTCTGATTTAAATGAAAGGGCTTCTTTTTCTTGTAACCCTTCTTGCATATCAGAATCATCAGAAGATACATCAGAACCAGAATCTGATTGAGAATATGTCACATCATTTGAAATATCTTTTTGTTTCTCGTCATTGGTTACTAAATCCATTTGATATTTATTTGTTTCGTACCCTAATTATAAAAAAAAAAAAGATTTAAATAAAATTATTATTATTAATTTAAAAATATATATATATAAAATATAAAAAAAATTTTTTCTTATTTCATAACCCACCATTTTTATTGTTTTCTTTTAAGTGTTCCGTACTTTTTACACGAGAAGTTAACATAAAAATGGTTCCATCTTTTAAAGAATCTTTATTCCCTTCAGCTATCTGTCTCGGTGCTTTTTCGGCAATCCCGCAACTAGAGTTTTGAATGTCATTCATATTGCAAAAACGAAAAGATAACTCTACAATTGACAGCTATATATGTGATATATTAATATGTTTAAGTTTACGCCAAATTTCCCCCAAAAAAAAAGGCTTCAATCATTTAATCATTTTGGTCACAATCTTTCCAAATATTACCTTCTTATATTGATTATCACGTGAAATCAGCCAAATTTATCCTTATATGAATGCCCTTATTCTCGACCAGGGTATAGGATAAAAGATTAGGTCACTGGTCAAAGTTAAGATTACGTATTTCCTGGAATACATTTATTGAACCCTCCAATTTTGGTGTGCAAATCGTAAACCATGTGCGCCCACTCCAACAATAGATTTCACATGTTGCATCGTTTGCATCAAAGTCTTTTGAATATAGAATTATTTAATTATTTAAATATTATCTGTGTTACTAGAATTATTACTTGCCCAACTTCTATTTAATCTGAATAATAATCATTATTTCAAGAATGTAACTAGCCAATATTTTGTTTTCAGTACTCACATTAATGACATTAATAATAAATATCACATTTTTGTACATTGACTTAAATACTTACTCATAAACAAAAATGTATTTTGCTGTAATAGTTATTTATTAAGAAAATACTTAATCTTGAACCTTTGATGAAATGGCATTTTGAAAAGATAACAAATGTATACTTAAAGTTTATCATGAATCAGAAAATGTGAAACTTCAACTGGTATATGGCAAAAAAATTAATTTTTTGTAAAATAAAAGGAAATTTTACTTTTTACATTATAGAATATATTGTTTTCAGAATAATAAATATTGTTACAATTAAAAATGAATACACAGAAATAAAAATATTATATAATTCCATCATTATTGATCCAGAATATTTAATTTTTTGTTTAAAAAATTTTTAATATAAAATATTTCAGTAAAATTTCATAAGATAATGTTGTAATACTTTACAGGCATATATCATATATGATATATGAGGATCTTGAAATATACAATTATAAGAAAAAATTTTAAAAATCATTATTACTTTTTTACCTAGTTATAACAGTAAATTTTTTTTAGGCGATGATCAACGGAGGATTTTCGACGCAAACAGTGATCAGCGGAGGATTTTCGTATATTTTTTACTTTTTTTGACTTCGCTCTCGATTTGCGAAGGTATTTCTAAGATAGAAAGAAAGGCCTTGTTCTTGGCTAGAAAATGATACGTGTTCATCCTGGTAGCATCAATATTCGCGGAGTTATTTTAGTTTAAAGTCGGACATTTTTAGTTTAAAGTCGGACATTTTTAGAATAACTCCGCGAATATCGATACCATCAGGATGAAACACATAGCCAAGAACAAGATCGTTCTTTCTATCTTAGAAATACCTTGGTAGAAAAATTTCCGGTTTATTCACGTTTATCACATGAAAGTAATTTTATTGGTAGAATTTATAAATTTATGGTTTATTGGTCAATTTTCTTTCACATGATATATGATCTACCACAAAAAAATTGACTGGCACCATATTTAAAAAAAATAATAAAAACCAGTTTTTTTTTGCCATTTTAGTCAAATATTTAAACTGTCAAAAAAAAATTAGGTTACACCCATCTACCCATCTCTTAAACTGAAAATTTTTTAAAATGATTGACTAAAAGATCGAATTCAAAGAATGAAGTATTTTCATTTACTCCTTAAAAAGAATTTTCTATTTTTCTTAGAGGAAATTTCTATTTTCTTAACAGAATTTTCTATTTTATTCAATCGCGTAGACTAATATTATTTTTTCTTGATAGAATCTTCTATTTTTCTCGAATGGCATAGCATCTTTCCATTTTTGTTTTATACCGCAGTAGATTAGAATAATAATAAACAATTGAACATTGATAGATTATGTCATTTGCAACATTATTAGCTAATTTTGACGTAAAATAGGAAATCCGGTTAAATATTTAAGATAAAATTTTTTTTGCTTTCTCCCTTTTTTTAATTCGGGCATAAACTTATATTATAATTATAACGATTTAAATAAAATTTTTAACCTAAATAATTTTGGGAATAATCTTTAACAAGGGTATGCATCAAGAATGTCATAATTATAATCATGGAGATTATATCAGTCCGTTCGCGTTCACTCCTCAAATTTTATCAAGGTTAATTGATCCAAAGGATATTAATTTATTGAAAAATATTGGTGGTGTAGAAGGTTTCTTGATTGGTTTACACACGAACTCAAAAACTGGTTTGAGTAGCCATGAAACCACTTTAAACCCAATTACTATTAGTGATGAAATAGAGGGACGTGATGATAAGGATTCAAAGTCGCAAAAGTCTGTTACTTCACATCCTGAAAATATTCCTTTCTATCACAGAATAAGAACATTTGGTAGAAATGTTTTGCCAGCAAGGAAACAAAAATCAATATTTCAATTGATGTGGATTGCTATGCATGAAAAGATTATAATTCTCTTAGCTATAGCTGCAGTTATATCATTAAGTCTTGGTCTTTATGAGGATTTTGGCATCAAACATGAATCGGATCATGAGAATGATAAACCGAAAGTTCGTTGGGTTGAAGGCGTAGCAATTATTGTAGCAATTATTATTGTGGTATTAGTAAGTAGTTTAAATGATTGGCAGAAACAACGTCAATTTCAAAAATTAAATGCCAAAAAAGAGGATCGAAATGTTAAAGTAATTAGAGACGGCAAAGAATCTCTTTTGTCAGTACATGAAGTATTAGTTGGTGACATTCTTAAATTAGAATCAGGAGATATTGTTTCAACAGATGGAGTATTGGTTGACGCACATAATCTCAAATGTGATGAATCAGCGGCTACAGGTGAAAGTGATGCAGTGAGAAAGATGACATATGAAGATTGTCTCAAAGAATTAGAAAAAAACGATGAACAAGAACCATCCCTTCTTCCAAAAATTGACCCCTTTATAATTAGTGGAAGCAAAGTATTAGAAGGCGTAGGTAGTTATGTTGTAAGTGCTGTGGGCGTAAATTCGTATTTTGGAAAAACGATGATGGGTATATATAATTCCATTTTATTGTCTTGTGATATTTTATATAATTGATATTTTTTTATTTATAATTCTACTTTTTCTACATTCATCTATTAGCATTACGAACTGATCCTGAAGATACACCTCTTCAGAAAAAATTAAATCAGCTCGCAGAAAACATTGCAAAATTAGGTGGTTCTGCAACTTTAATTATGCTAATGGTCTTATTGATCAAATATTTTATCACCTTCCGCTTTGGTGTTCCAGACCTATCATCCGTGTTTCAAAGTTTGATTAGGATATTAATTTCAACTGTGACTTTATTAGTGGTGGCAATTCCTGAAGGATTACCATTGGCCGTAACTCTCGCTCTTGCTTTTGCAACAACTCGTATGTTAAAAGATAATAATCTTGTACGTGTTTTGTCAGCTTGTGAGACCATGGGAAATGCAACAACTGTTTGTTCAGACAAAACCGGCACATTAACCCAAAATAATATGTCAGTAGTTGCTGGAACAATAGGACAAACTTTAAATTTTGTAAAGGATCAAGCACGAATAAATGATTTTAAAAGCTCTCACCTTGAAAATCCTATTCCACTACAACAACTTAAAGAAATTCTTTCATCCGATATTATTAAATTGTTAGAGGAATCAATTGTAATTAATTCTACTGCATTTGAAAGTATGTCTGAAGATGGTCAAATTACTTTTACTGGCTCAAAAACCGAAACCGCATTATTAAGTTTTCTAGTCAATTCGGACCGTAGAAATTTTATGGATTTAAGAAAAAATGAACCTTTGAAAATGTTCCCATTTAGCTCTGATCGTAAGGCTATGGGTGTTGTTATTGAAAAAGAAAAATCAAAATGGAGATTCTATGTTAAAGGTGCTAGCGAAATATTACTCAAAAAATCAAAATCGATTGTCAACCTTGATCGATCGGAGGACGGAGATTCTGATAAAATTGATTTAACAGAAGAAGATATCATCGTATTACACGAAGTCATAGAAAATTATGCAAATCAAAGTTTGAGAACAATTAGCTTGGGATATCGTGATTTCAATGAATGGCCTCCCACTGGAATGGATGGGGAAGTTTCGTATGATGATTTAAATAAGGATATTACATTATTAGGAATTTTTGGTATTGAAGATCCATTGAGAGATGGGGTACGTAAAGCAGTAGAAGATTGTACTAATGCAGGTGTAAAAGTTCGTATGATTACTGGTGATAATATCATAACAGCTAAATCTATTGCTACACAATGTAGGATTTATACTGATGGTATTATTATGGAAGGTCCCGAATTTCGAAAATTATTACCTAATGAAATGGATACTGTGGTACCTAATTTACAAGTTTTGGCAAGATCTAGTCCGGAAGATAAAAGAATTTTAGTTGGAAAACTTCGAGAATTAGGGGAAATTGTTGCGGTAACAGGTGATGGTACAAATGATGGACCAGCATTGAAAACAGCAGATGTAGGATTTTCTATGGGTATAGCGGGTACAGAAGTTGCTAAGGAAGCATCCTCTATTATATTAATGGATGATAATTTTTCAAGTATTGTAAAAGCAATTATGTGGGGACGTAGTGTAAATGATGCGGTTAAGAAGTTCTTGCAATTTCAACTTTCAGTGAATATAACAGCTGTATTATTAACATTTATATCAGCTGTTTCCAATAATCAACAAGAAGCAATTCTATCAGCAGTACAATTATTATGGGTTAATTTAATTATGAATACACTCGCTGCTTTAGCATTGGCCTCTGATCCACCGACACCAGATTTATTAAAACGTAAACCTGATCCTAGAACTGCATCATTGATTTCTTTAGAAATGTGGAAAATGATTCTTGGCCAAAGTGCAGTTCAATTGATAATTACATTGGTTTTATTATATAGTGGAAATGATATATTGGGTTATACTACACCTGAGGAAACATCTAGTTTACAAACAATAATTTTTAATACTTTTGTTTTCTTACAAATATTTAATGAAATAAAGTAAGTGATTAAATAATTATTAATGTTAATTATTAATTTTTTTTTTTTTATTATCACTTAATTTTTCTAATTATTTAACTATAACTAATTGAAATTTATAAATAATAGTTCTCGTCGACTGAGTAATAATCTCAATATATTGAAGGGTGCAACTGCCAATAAATATTTTATTATTATTTTCTTTATTATTGTAATAGGACAAATAATTATAGTAACATTCGGAGGAGCAGCATTTACTACTCAAAAATTAAGTATTACACAGTGGCTAGTATGTGTTGGTCTTGGATTCTTATCTATACCTGTTGGAATTATAATACGCTTAATACCTATTAGAAATCGTCCACAAACACAATCCTCTGCTGGAAAATTATGGGATAATATCACAAGATTAAAGAAACGATTTGGTGACAAAAAAGACAAACATCAAAAAGGCACCGCCGCGGTTGGACATTCCGAACCTTCCGATCAAGAAAATATTAATGTTGTATGCAACCAGTCAACAAGTGACGATGATCGCATAGAAATTATGATAGATTAAATTTTTGCAACATATTCGTTTGTTTCTTTGGGTTTAAATTTTTTTTATTCAAGATTTTATATTTTTTATCAAAGAATGTTTTTTTTATTCTATATTTTATATTTTTTTATCAATTCTATATTTTATATTTTTTATCAATAAATTTTTTTTTATTCTATATTTTATATTATTCAATGAATTTTTTTTTTGATTACTTATTAATTATTAAAAGTTAATTAATTAAAAGAAATATAAAATTATAAGACCATTCCGTTGGAACTATATCTCTTATAATCAAAATTAATCCTTTTTTTTAAAAAAAGTAACCAAACTAAAACAACAAATCGAATATCAATACGACATTGACGATCATTATCAAGAACCATTTTAAGCAAATTTATTTCATAATAATATCTATTTTTCTCTAACTAATTTATTAATACAATAAATTCTATGTACAACAATAAATTATAATAATAACTCCAAAATTTTATATTTTCATTATACATCCAAAAATTATAATTTTAAATGATCTTTAAAATATAAATAATTAATGAAATGATACAATTATACTGATTAAAATTTCAAATACAGACTGTCATAAACAAAGTAAATTTAAAACGATATTTGACATACCGATATAATTTTACCTTGCGCCCCTTAAATCATGACCGTTAGTTAGAAATTTAATAAATTATGTAAATTTTTTTCTGAATATAAAACAACTTTATTGATCATTACATATTAATTATGCATGTATACAGAATCTAGAATTGTTACGTTAAAAATGAAACTATTAAGAAACAAGAATTTACTTAACAATAGTTTCACTTTTCAGTTTGTACTATCCAATTAACCAGATTATACAGAACCAATACATAAATTTTTAGGCATTTCTACTTTATACCGACCACCACCAGGAAATACTACTATCAATCCCAATTCATCTCTTGCCATGGATTTCAGTTCCTCAGGAAATTTTGTTCGACAGGCAACTCCGATATGTTGCTTTCCCAATAATTGTTTGAATTCTAGATCTGAAGTAGTTTCGAGTTTTTTTGGAAAATCCTTTAATCGATTAATGAGATTGACTACGTGTTTCTAATAATAATACCAAATTATAAATGAACTTTTTAAATAAATTCACAAAAGATAGTTATCAAATGGAATTCACACTTACAAGTGTCATATTATGTTTGGTTTCACATAAAAATACCCTATCATCACAAATTAAGATTCCATCCCACTCTATTGATGGTCTGCCTTCCTGATCATGCATTATTCGTTTAGAAAAGATTTTTGTAGATGCCTTGATCTTTTCATTAAGAGCATTTTGTACAGCCGATAATGTTTCTTCTTCCATTACCTGATCCTCAATTTTTGACCATATAACTCCCCTTTTGACCGCTGTAAGATGGGAGGCATTGATTCGATAATATTGATTAGAATGAATGTTTCTTAGAGATGTGATAACATTTGGGACTTCATTATTATCATCAATAGATTCCAATCCCTTCCCATCAACTGCCTTCAAAAAGTTACGAAGATCATCTTCATCATACATCATATATTTTTCATTATTATAGGCTTGAATGTAGATGGTCTTTCCTGATATTTGCTCAATAGTGTCTTCAAGTTTTTTTTGCAACCAAAAATGGTAAACCTGCTTTGCGTAGATCGTCTGCTTTCAATTTCAATAATGTACTTCCTGTCACTTCATGTGTCTCAAAACCGAACTCTTTTAATGCATTCCAATCATTAGCAAATCTCTCCTTGAGAAATATATTAACTTCTTTTGGTGACCACTCTTGAACTGTAGAATACTCAAGTTCATTAGTTTGGGATTTTTCATGTTGAGAAAGTTTTAAAAGTTTTTGAGAAAAAGTTAATCCAATTGGTTGATTAGTAGTGAATAGTGTTCTCTTGACTAGGATGAACCTTAACATTTGTTATACAAGATATGATTTAGGAAAAAATCCCTTCTTGAAAAAAAACTGCCGATTAGAATTTTGACCCAGGTTAATGATTTTATGCGGTGACAAATTATGTATCTGATAAATTGTTTTATGTAAAATTAGGATGACAGGTGGAAGATAACGGTAAACAATTAAAGTTATAAAAATGAATCAAGCTGGGAAGGAGTAGATCGGTGCCTTTATGTACAATGTAATGGTAGAATTAGAAACGTAATCCGTAATAATTCTATCACTACATAATATTTGTAACAAGCTTTTGTAAACTTCTATAAACTTTTTAAAAAAATTAATAAACTTCTCTTTCATTGTTGTGTCATTACATAAAGTCGAATTACACATTTAATAAAATCATATTTGAAATACTTTTACTCCAGATCGGCATATCATAATATATACCAATTTTTTTTTTAAAAAAAGAAAAAAATATTCGAAATAAAAGATGAAAATCAGACATTCCTGCTAGATTACACCTGTTATTGTGCAGGATGTGTAGGAAATATTATCTACCTCATTGTTCTTTTTTTTTTTTTAATAAATCAATTTGTTGCTTGGTTATTTTTTTTTTCTCAAATAGTTGAATTTGTAATCAAAATGTGGGAATTATAATTGATTTCGTTCAAACTAGAGGATATCATATAAAAATTATTATTTTAAATCAACAGAAACAATCATTATTTGTAATAATTTAGACTTTAAATTAAAACTTTATTACGTATCATCAATTAATTTAATACATTTGAAGATTCAAAATTGGGATACAAAATTTCAACCAATAAAATTCAGTCACGCTACCAAAGAAGGTGCAAAAACCTTATAAATAACAGTAATTGATAAAATAGATAACATGCACAATAAAACAAATAAAACAATAAAAGATAAAGATGGAACTTTACCAACGTTTCTTTGCACCACATTATATAATTAATTTTTTATACGTGTTACAATTTTTTGTTATCCGTTATGTACCTTCATTGGGATCTCATTATCTTGATCTCTCTCTTGAGGTATTTTTTTTCTCAGAGATTAGAAATATCGAGTTTGAAAGGGATCAAAAGTTTTTTTTTTATTTTTATTTTTATTTTTATTTTTTTCTTATTATCTCGTATTCGATTGTGCTTTAATTAAATTTATAGCCACCAGAGAAGATAATATATATAGTATTTCTTATTCTTGTGTTGATAAAATTTAAATCCTCAAGTAATGCTGAAGAATTTTTATCCATATTTTTCGTATATGGAAAATTTTTGAATTTAGTAATGTTCTATTGGTATGGAAAAACATTATGGACAGTTCTATATGCTATTATATGGGGGCGTAAGCATCATCATCATCATCATTCTTATTATTGTTATTTTTGGTTCTTAAAATTTATTAAAAATTTATTATTTTTTATAGTTCTATTTGTTATTCTACCACAACCTTCATATAGAGGCAGTTCAAAAATAATAGAATTGACATCGAAAGATTTACGAGATATTCTAAATGATAAAGTTCCCAAGATAACTGGATTTAATGATGAAAAGAAAGGAAAAATTAAAGAAAAAGAAAATGCTAATTATTGGGTGATTTTCTTTTATGCCACGTGGAGTGCTGCGTGCAGAAATTTTGAATCCACAGTTGCAAATATATCTTTAAAGTAGGTAGCAGTGAGAAAAATGTATTTGTTTTAAAATAATAATCTTTAAAATTATGATAATAATCTTTAAAAGTAACATAAATCAACAAAAACAAAACAAAAATAGATATTCTTCTCCAGATGTCCATTTCGGGAAAATTGATCTCGATTGTTATGAAGACGTTTCACAAAAACTTGATATTTCTCTATCACCCACAAGTTTAGATCTTCCTACCTTGATCTTATTTAAAAATGGTAAAGAAATTGGAAGATTACCTCAAAAGATTCGAGATGGTTCTAATGAAGATTTAGATAAAATCAAGAATAAAACACTTCGAAATGCCAAAGTTACATGGGATCGCTTAGGTTGGGATCGGAGTACGGTAAACATTAATTTCTAATTACTTTCTATTATTTTTCTTTTTATCACTTTGAAAATCTAAGTGCAAATAACAACAAGAACAACAACAACAACAACAATAATAATAATAATAATAATAATAATAATAATAATAATTTTTAGAAATCAATAGTCTCGGCTTTTAAACTTGAAACTTTACATAAATCAATGTAATTTTATCAATTCTATCAATTTTATCCGAATATACAATTTTATCCGATTGTTCCATACATATGAGAAATAAGAAGTAATAAAAGAAAAAGGTAATAGGAAGGAATAAAATTAATAAGTAGTAGTAAAAAGTATATATATATATATGTATGTACATATATATTTGTTTAAAATATGGGATATTGTAATTTACAACCAAAAATTATTTTTCTTACTAATAAAAAAAAAAATATCTAATTTATTTTTTTTTTTTTTTTTTGAAACAAATAAATGAAATAATAATAAACTCAAATTTTTAATGAATGAATTAATTAATTATTTGATCCAAGTTCATGATTATGATTAAAATTTGTTGAAATAATTTCCCATAAACCCGAACTTCCATTAGCCGAAGCTCTGATTAAAAAAGGACATCTACATCTTTGAGATAAACGATTCCGAGTTGGTCTTTCACCAACCTTTTTTTTACAAGAACTTCCACTACGTGAACATACAATTTCTCTCCACCTAACTATACCTTCTCTATTTCTTTTTAATTTGTGTAATCTCATTGTAAAACCTTGACGTATAGCATATTCTTGTACCGCTACTACAAAATCTGTATGACTCGTAAATTTCGAACCTTGTTGTAAAGAATCTTGTAGAATAATATTTCCACCACCTTCATTACTTTGAGGCACGAATTCATTATTATTATTATTATTATTATTATTATTATTACTATCATTATTATTATTATTATTATTATTATTATTATTATTATTTACATTATCACTATTATTTACATTATTATCATTGTTAATGTTATTGGTATTGTTATTACTAATATTAACTTCAATTTGTGGTGGTTGTAATAAATTTTGAATCAAACAAGTGGTATTTGGTGAAGAAGTCGGTAAAGCTATCGGAGAATTATTATTATCATTGTTAATGTTATTAATATTGTTATTACTAATGTTATTGGTATTATTATTTACTTGTGGTTCAGATAATAATAATCCCTCTATCCTGAATTTATTATTTGAAATATTATTATTTGGTGAATTTTCCTGTTGTGAATAATTATTATTTTGGGAATAATTACTATTTTGCGAGTAATTATTATCTTGCGAATAATTGCTATCTTGCGAGTAATTAGAATTCAAAAGATTATTCATCTTTCCCTTTGTCTTCTTTTTTGTTCAGGGTTGAGATATAATAGATATAATATTTATCTCAATTATTTAAAAAGAATAGATAAGATTGGAAACTCGAATTGTCGCGCTTTTATATCAGGTGATCAATCCAAAAACTATAAACTCACCCTTTTCTAAAATTGTTATTATTAATAAAAAAACCTTTACTTTCGAATAGAAAAGAATCAAAAAAAAAAAATAATAATAATTGTAGAATTTGGCAAAAAATTATGGCATTGGGTAAAATTGTTCATATTGCAGTAGATGCAGTATTGGTTTCCGCCGTTTTGGCTGGTATCAGACGTTCGACTGAGTTATCGTGAGTACAATACTTTTTACTTTAATATACTTTATATTATATTAATAGTAATATTAAACAATTTTACATATTTATTAATTAATTATACCTTTTATATAATATTTTTATTCAGAATTGCTACCACTAATTTTGAAAATCAAGAATTTCGAAAAGCTGTTGATAAATTTCTTAATGTTGGTGAATGGGTGGTTGATCAAAGTATATTGTATATGAGTGCTTCACAATATTTTGAACGAAAACGATGAGATGAAGTGAGATGAATACAATAAAATGAAATTATATAACAATGAATGCAGAAAATACAATAGATACAACAGTAAATATAATAATATTAATGTGAGGATTACAATTCTTGTTATAACATTCATTCATTCATTCAACATTTATTTAATATAGATTTTGTTCTTTTTTTAATATATTCATATGTTAATATGTTAATATATTGAGGGGAGGAGAATTTGTGATATTTTGTATATTTTTAGTGTAAACAATATATTATTACTATTATTATTATTTTCATTTATTATAGTATTTTAAAATAATTTTATTCTTTTATTTGAAACCCAAGAAAATTATCACCACAAAAAACCATCACTTCGAGTAAACATTTCCACGAGAGAAAATAAAAAAATCTTATATTCCCGTATTTGATTATTTGATTATTATTTGTCATTTGTTGGAAGCAATAATTCAGATTTATAAGTATTTTCTTCTAATAATTTTTCAACTTCTGTTTTTATATAATCAACTTTATTGGAATCAACAAACAAATGATTCTCATCAAGGTCTTCGATGATAAGTTGAAATTTATCTCTTTCTTTTTCATTAAGTTTATAAATGACTTGTTTTACTGTCGGATCACTATTATTATTATTATTATTATTATTATTATTATATTTTTATTGATTTTGGATATTTTTATTTTGGATATTTTGAATAATTTGATTATTATTATTATTTTGATTATTATTATTATTGTGATTATTTATTATAAAAAAAAAAAGAAGTAAGAAGAATTTTAATAACTTTAATTCTTTTATTTTAATTCAATATTGTTTTCTATACGTACCATTTTAAGATAACACCTAAAAAGAAATATTTATATAAATAGTATCCATAGAAATATTTTAAATATATTATCAATATAAATTTTATTTGAAAAAAAAGAAGGAAAAAATTGGTGTAAATTTTTGAAATTATAAATTTCTCAAGAATATATTGAACTACCTTTGACTGCTTTGACCATCTTTCAAAGAAAAAATTTAAAAAATTCAGTTGTTGAAAAAATCAAATTGTTGAATTAAGTATTTGAAAAAGTCGCACAAATAATCCAAGTAATCGAACAAAAGTTACACAAAAACTCATAATTCAGATAATTCATGTGACATAAAAAATGTACTTTAAAAAAAAAGTTTAAGAATTTTCAATTCTCAAAATATCATCTCTTACTCTCTCAATTTCTTTATTTACTTCAATGTAAGCTTGTACTATTTGATCGAATTCACAAGCGGCTTGATATTTCGATAGTTCAAATTCTATTTCATTTAATTCTTTAATTAAATTTTCTTCCTCTTTCAAAAGATTATCCCTAAATCAATCAATTAATCAATAAATAAATAGTATTGTAGTAATAAAGTAATAAATTGTATTAATAAAAGTAATAATAATAATAATAATAATAAATATACCTGATATTTTTGAGTCCTTCCACAGTATCTTGGTCATAAACAGACAATAATGCATTTAATTTAAGAACCCTATCAAAAATATATAATAAAAATATGAAAAATAAAAATATAAAAAATAAAAATATAAAAAATAAAAATATAAAAAATAAAAATATAAAATAAATGTATAATAAAAATATAAAATATAAAATAAATATATAATAAAAATAGATATTTGCCTAAATTTCAAAATAATTGATTTCATAACACTTGAGAAATAATCACAAAATACTTCATTCTTTTTAAATTCATGACAATGTTTAAATTCTTCAATGCAATTCCATAGATTTAACAAAATATTTTTCATCACCTACAATTATAAATTATATAAATATTATAAATATTATTTAAATTGACTTTCTCAATTGAGAAAGATAATAATCAAAAATAAAATAAAATAAAATAAAATAAAATACATTACATTCATGTAATCTGTTATGTGTTCACCTAATCGATTTTTATCTTCAACAAGATTTATTCTGAAAGATCGTAATTCTTCAATACGTCGATTTAATTTTTCATCCAATTTTGTTGCTTTGGCAAATAATAATTTTGGATTTGAATCTAAACATTCATACATTCATACATACATAATATTTGATAAATATATAAATATAATAATATAATAAATATAATTAATTCTTTCTTTTTTATTTTACCTTCTTCAACATAATAAAATTTCGCGATATCTTCACAAAGTTTTTTTAATTTATTTTCAATATAATTTAATAAAATTCCTTTAATCTATTATTATAAAAAAAAAAAAATCATTTATTTATTATATTTTTCCAAATCATAAAATAATATTATATCTTCATTTATTTATTTACCAACATTTAATTCCTGAGATAATGATGATTTATTTTCTGTTAACCCCAATAACTTGCAATTTTTTAATGATATATCTTGAGGGCGAAAATTTAAATATTGTTTAGTTTCTGCGAAAGATAAAAGGTTTTTAATTGTTTCTAGAGTCTATTTTAAAATTAACATATAACATATATTAAATATTAATATATTTTTTAATAAATTTAATATAAAAATATAAAAAAAAAAATTTTTTTTTTTTACCTTTCCCGAAGTATCATTATTTTTATTTAATTCTTTTTCTAAAGTCAATTGTTGAACCGCATTATATAAAGTCAAATTTTCATAATAAAATATCTTATCTTCTAAATGAGTATCCTTTTTTTTTAAAAAAAAAAAAAGACGCGTTACCAAAGGTATATAAATACAAAAATAGAGATATTATAAATTAATTTTACTTTATTTAATTCCAAGAATAATTCTTTGGTTGTCCCGTCTGGAGCCAAATAATGTGTAAATAATTGTTCATAAAATTCGGCAAAATTGGGGTTTTCGGATAATAAAGTTTTATTAATATGAAAAGGCATTATTATTAATTATTATTATTATTTCGAAATTTCGCGATATTTATACTATTTATACATATATTATATAAATGACAGTGGGTGATCAAAAATCACCAGACAGTTGAAAATTTTTAAAAAAATTACTAAAATTAAAATGCTAATTGTGCCACAACGAGTTACCCTAAACCAGGGCTATCATATGATATATTTTGTGTTAAAATTAAAATTGACAAAAAATAAAAAATTTAATCTTTGAACGTTACTCATACCGATTTCGATACACTTCAAAGATAGATATCAACTATCTTATATTAAATTGTAGCCAAGAGCAATGTCTACAACTTTAATTAGAAACACTTTTCATAGTATCTAGTGAAATTTTTGACTTTAATTAGACGTGAACGAAAACGGCCAAAATTTATTAAAAATTTTTAAAAAATAAAAAAAAATTTGAAAATAATCATTAATCTTTTTTACATATAAAAGTATTTTCTTTACTAATATGATAATAAAAATAATACTAAGTAAAATTAAAGTTAAGAATATACTGTATCTTGTGTAAAGTATTCAGAGTTTTTTAATAAAATGTGAGCGAATAACGAGCAGTTAAATTACAGAGAATAATTTCAGAACGTCTGAAGTTTAGCTGTTGATATTAAATTAAATTCGTAAGCAAGAATTCTAAAAACTTCAAAAACAATGCTCCCCATTCTTGGCTATAAGATTAATTAGTCATACATTTGATGATTAATTAGTAAATAATAAACTTTAATATGTAAAAACTTTCGATAATTATTTTCGAATTTTTTTTCAGATTTTTTAAAAAATATCAAAGATAAATGATCGACATTGATATTTTTTTTAAACCCGAAAATAATTACTAAAAGTTTCTACATATAAAAGTTTATTATTTATTAATAAACTATCAAATTTGTTACTAATTAATCTTATAGCCAATAATTGTGAACATTGTTTGTGAAGTTTTTAGAATTTTTATTTACGTATTAAATTTAATATCAACGGCTGAACACCGGACGTTCAAAAATTATTCTTTGAAATTTAACTGCTCATTTTTCGCACACTTTTTATTAAAAATCTCTGGATACTTTACACAAGATGCAATATACTCTTATCGTTAATATTACTTAGTATCATTTTATTAGTATTTAAGTAAATAAAATACTTTTATATGCAGCAAACTTTAATAATTATTTCAAGAACTTTTTAATTCAATTTATTATAATAATTTATTTATTAATATTTTGTAGGATAACCTTTACTTTCAATAACAGCAGCAACACGATTTGACATGCTATTAACAAGATTATTATATTTATCTTTTTCAAGTTTGAACCATTCTTCCTGCAAAATTTGCCATAAATTATCTTTATTTTTAGGTAATGGATTATGTGACCTTACTTTTCTTTCTAATTCATTCCATAAATTTTCTATAGGATTTAAATCTGGACTTTGTGCAGGCCATGGAAGACTTGGAATATTATTATCTTCCTTCCATTTTTTTGCTATTTTTGCAGTATGAATTGGAGCATTATCTTCTTGAAAAATATAATTATTACTATTTTCTAAACTATTTATAAATGGAATTAATTTTTTTTCTAACATTTCTATATATATTTTTGCTGTTATTCTACCTTCTAATCTAACTAATGGTCCAAGTTTATTTTTTGTAAAACAACCCCAAACCATTACACTTTCTTGTCCTGATTTAAAAGTTGGTATAAGACATTTTGGATCATATTTTTCTTGAGAATTTCT